TATTTAATTTTTAATGGCTGGAGATAGTTTTATGTTTGTTTTGTTTTTGCCTGGAGCATCCACATCCCTGCTAAAGTGCTTTGGTTCCCACATGTCTTAGTTATCTAGGGCTGCTGTAATAGAAATACCACAAATAGTTGGCTATGACAAATAGAAATTTTTATTCTTAAAATTGAAGAGGCTAGAAGCTTGAATTCAGGACATGGGCTCTAAGTGAAGATTTTCTCTCTCTGTTGGCTCTGAGGGAAGGTTCTTGTCTCTTCAGCTTCTGTTTGCTGTTTCCTTGGAGATCTCCATGTGGTTTGGTATCAATCTTTCCTCCATCTCAGTTTGTCCAATCTGCTCCTTTCATCTCTTGCAAGAGATTGACTCAAGATACCCTACACTAATCCTGTCTCATTAGCACACAGAAAATTCATTCCCAAATGGAATTATGACCACCAGCACAGAGGTAAGAATGTACAACACATATTTTGGGGGACTCAATTCAACCCATAACATCTCATAATCAAAAATAGACAAGCTGTGATGTACATACATAAATCTGCACATTAATATACCAAGTACTTTTTATAGATAAATTCTGCATTGCATATTCACATTTTGCTTAAATAGAGATTTTGTATCATAGATTATTAAATCATAAAGGCAAGAGAAAATGTCTTCCCATATTTGTATCACTGTTGTCCATTTACTGAACAAATATATGAAGGAATGTTATCAAGCAATCAGCCTCTTTTCCACATCTGCCCCAGACTATGAGCTAGGTTGCTTGCTTTGAGTCAGGTATTTGACCAATTTTCCCTTCTGTTTCCTCCCTTCCCCAAACCACCAAACCCAGTCATAAGCAAAATGTCCAAAAACACAAAACTTTCTGTTACATTGCATCCCATTGTCCTTTACAGAAGTTTTTTCTTTTCTTTCTGTCATGCCATTTGTTACAACAGATCAGAAAATTCCTCTTGATAAGAGCTAATGTCTTGAAAATCATCACCCAGATGATCTTAAGAGTAGTCAAAAAATGAAGAGCTGTTGGTGGGGATAGTGAGAGGGGAGTGTTAATGAAGGGGAGTTGTCTGCCTTCAGCTTAGTTCCTCAATCTGCCAAAGACATCCATTCCCACCTGGAGAATTACACACACACACACACACACACCATTTAAAGGCCAACAAAACACTTGTAATCTTATCCTATCTAGACAGAAAGGTCTGTGTTTTTGAAAATTCTTTCAATCTACCATTTCAAAAACATCTTGAAGAACTCTCCTGAGAATTTTCTATATTTAGATTTTTTTTTTTTTAATTATAAAAGAGAATCTTCGATATCATGACATGTTTGGGTCAGAATATATTATTCAAGAAAACACTATTATTCTACTATGATTATGCCATAAAACTCAAAAAATAAAATAAAATAGCAACATATGTATAAACTTCTCTGCACTTAGCTCAAAAAGTATTAAAGAGAATAAGTTACATCTATAACTTTGGGAGCTCTGGTAGCATAGCGCTTAAGGCACTTGACTGCTAACCAGAAGGCTGGTGGTTCAAACCCACCAGCCACTCCTCAGAAGGAAGACTGGACAATCTACGTCAGTAGTGATACTGCCTCGGAAACCCAAGGAAGGGTTGCTATGAGTCAGGTCCAACTCAATGGCAGTGAGTTTGGTTGTTTGGTTTTTATAAATTTGTATTTTTTTGATTTAGCACATTTTCCTATTGATTGACATTACTCCTCCACAGCACAATATATCACTAGAACCCACCACCATTTTGTCTATTCTGATTCATAGCAAACATTTAGGAAAGAGTAAAACTGTCTCATAGGGTTTCCAAGGCTGTAAATCTTTATGGAAGCAGATTACCACAACTTTCTCCCATGGAGTGGCTGGTGGGTTCAAACTGACAACATTCTGGTTACCAGCTGAATACTTTAATCACTGAGCCACCAGAAAAGTCTATGGTATATTTTATATTCTTCCCCTCTGTTACAGCAGCACTGGATAACTAAGACAATAGCTCAAGTTTAAAGAGATATTGCCAGATTTCTTTCTAGACTTGATTCTCAAGTGCCTAGCAATTCTCTATATAATTAATCTGTACTCTTACAACCTAAACTAAATCATAATCTATGTTAACCTTTCTGAAATTGATGAGAATTCTGCACATGCCAGGTCAGAATCTCATTTCGTCCTTCATCCAGCTCTCTCATTGACTCAGAATGAGTAAGTAAGTATCTGGTCCAGATAACAATCTGAAGATGGGAGTAAAAATAATTAAAATTCACTTTTCATTTTATTTTAACCTAAGTGCAACAACTCTGAACCAAAGCTAATTGTAATATATTGTTTCTGTGCACTATCGAATTGATTGGGTTTCCAAGGCAGTATCTGTACGGAAGTAGATTGTCCAACCTTCCTTCTGAGGAGTGGCTGGTGGGTTTGAACCATCAGCCTTCTGGTTAGCTGTCAAATGCCTTAGGCATGACGCCACCAGAGCTCCTTTTTATAGGACAAAGTAGAACTGTCCCAAATGTTTCCTAAACTGTAATTTTCACTGAAGCAGATCACCAGCTATTTTTGCCCACAGAAGAGCTGGTAGATTTGAGCTGCCAAGGCTTTGGTTAACAGCTGAGCTCTTAATCTTGCACCACTCCATTGTCATTGAATCAATTCTGACTCATCATGACACTACAGAACAGAATACAATTGTCCCATAGGTACATGGAATAAGGTTATTGTTATTGATGTCAGATAGTTTTTCACTGAAAGCAGAGTATACAAGAGTGTCAGTCTTTTTCTCTCTTTTTTAAATTGACTATGGAAAGGCATTCACCTGTATAGATCATAACAAATTATTGATAACACTGAAAAGAAAGAGGATTCCAGAACACTTAATTGTGCTCATGTGGAAATTGTACATAGACAAAGAGGCAGTCATTTGAATAGAACAAAGGTATACTGTATGGTCTAAAAATCATGAAAGGTGTATGTCCGTGTTGTATCCTTTCACCATAGTTTTTGATCTGAATGCTGAGCAAATAATCCAAGAAACTGGACTATATGAAGAAGAACATGGCATTAGGATTGAAGGAAGTTTCATTAGCAACCCTTGATATGCAGATGACACAACTCAGCTTGCTGACAGTGAAGAGTGCTTGAAGCACTTACTGATGAAGATCAAAGACTACACACTTCAGTATGAATTACTCCTCAACATAAAGAAAGAAAAATCCTCACAAGACCAATAAGCAAAATCATGATAAAAGGTGAAAATATACTGAAGTTGTTAAGGATTTCATTTTACTTAGGATCCACAATCAATGATGATGGAAGCAGCAGTCAAGAAATCAAGCAACATTGCAGAAGATATTTCTACAAATACATTTGTATGTGCTTTAAGTATAGCCAATGACAGAATAAAGCATACAGGGGCAAAATTATGAAAATTTCTTAGGCATAACCAAATATTTTGATGGAATGAGTCACTGGGCCTGCCAATTTAGGATCACAGTCTCCAGAAAAATCTAAGTTAGTTGACATAACATAGTCCACAAAGACAATATTCTACATCCTACTTTGGTGAGTAGTGACTGGAGTTCTACAAGTTTATGAGTAGCCATCTAAGAAGCAACTATAGGTCTCTTCCCATCCAGAGCAAAGAAGAGGAAGGCAATCAAAATCTCAAGGAAATAATTAGACCAAAGGATTAATGGACTATGCCAACCACAGCTTCACTACCCTCAGGCTACCCTGAGAACCAGATGCTGTCCAGCTGCCATTACTGACCCCTCAGGTCAGGATCACAATAGAAGATCTTGTACAGATTGAGAGAAAAAAAATTTTAAATGTAGAAAAAAATTTAAAGTCATAAAGCACTAGACTTATTGATCCAATAGAAACTGGCGAGCCCTTAAGGCTGTGGCCCTTAGTCCTGGAACTGAACCCAATCCTGGGGATCAAATTTCAGCCAAACAATACATAGTGAATAATAACAGCAGATAGCAATGTATTCTTCAGTACAATCAACAATATGAAGAAAAATAGAGCAGCATTTGCCCAAAAACAAAGCTCAGAAGACACAAAGGGACAGAAAGAAGGACAAATAGAAATAGTAAACCTAAGGAGGAAGTGGAAAGAGTGCTGTTAAATTGAAGGGATTTCAACCAATGTCAGAAAACAAAATGTCTATAAATTGTTGAATGGAAACTAATTTTCTCTGTAAACGCACTCAAACCACAATAAGAAGTTCAAAAAGAAATAAATCGAGTGATGTATTACATTCAGTAAAACCACTGTAAAAACTTCTTTAAAATGTTAAAAAGTCATTTTGAAGACTAAGGTGTGCCTAACCCAAGCCATGGTATTTTCAGTCATCTAATATGCATGCAAAAGGTGACCAATGAATAAGGAAGATTGAAGAATTGGTGCATTTGAATTATGGTGTTGATGAAGAATATTGACTATATCATGGACTGCTAGATTAACAAACAAATCTAGTACAGCCAGAATGCTCCTTAGAAGTGAGAATGGAGACACTGTGTCTCATGTGTTTTGAACATGTTATCAGTAGGACCAGTCACTGAAGAGGGATGTTATGCTTTGTAAAATAAAGAGTTAGTGAAACAGAGGAAGATCCTCAATGAGATGGATTGACACAGTGGCTGCTACAATGGGCTCAAAAATAACAATGATTGTGAAGATGGTGCAGGATCAGGTTGTGTTTTGTTCTGTTGTACATAGGGTTGCTATGAATTGAAATTGACTTGACAGCACCTAACAATAGCCACAATCTTATGGGAGCCTTATATAGATCATCATCTACATGGGACTGCCATATATTTTTCCTGTGGAGCCATTGAGTCAGTTTGAACCACTGACTTTTCTCTTTGCAGCCAAGAGCTTATCCATTGGACAACTAGGGATTCTTAAAAGCAAGAAAGTATCTGGTATGTTCTCATGTTACTTGAGAACCATAATGCATGACTCAATATTAACTTACCTGGGAATGTAGTCACCAGAGTAACTGTATATTTTACCTGGAAGAGATTTAAAATAGACAAATTATAAGAAATTTTTACATAAACTTTTAAATATTTTTCTACAAAACACTCTGATGGGAGCTTAGCCTGAGTTTCAGTTAACATCTGTGATCAAGCCACTCCAGTCAGGGCTGACTGATCTAGGGATAAAGACCTTCTCTAATTTGGACCAATCAGATTCCCTCTTGGTGATTTATGATGGAAACTGTATAGTATGGATATGATGTATAGCCTGGATCATGTTATGCCCTGAAAACACTAAACAGAAAAAGTTGGAACCTCCCTGTGTTCCAACTTTTGGAACCTGCCTTCCCTGTGGTTCAAGTTCATTGTGGGACATGGTCATACTTTCTGCTTTTAGTTTCCATGAAACACCTCTGCAACCTTCTCATAAACTGTTCTCTTTACCTATACTAGCTTTGATAGGCTTTTCTTCCTTACAACAAAAGATCCTAAGAGACATTGCCCCCTTTTATTTTTAAGAATCTGTTAACATTTCTTGGCATGTGAGCAACAACATAAAAAGTTGAGGAAGTTGTTCTGATTGTAATTCCATTTCATCAACATGGTACAATTACTGGTCAGGAGAAATGAGACTAGAGAGAGGAATCCTGGAAAAAGTTAGGAGCTCAGCATCTACAAATAATCAAAAGAACAGAATTATTTCTAAAAGAAACAGTTCTTTTGGATATGGAGAGACAAGACTGATCAGAGATCATTCATCATGACCAAGTGGGGTTCATATCAGATATGCAGGGATGGTTCAACATTAGAAAAACAATCAACGTCATCCACCACGTAAATAAAACAAAGGAGAAGAACTACATAATCATATCAATCGATGCAGAAAAGGCATTTGATAAAATCCAACACCCATTCCTGATCAAAACTCTC